AATCTAAGTCTAAGTACCGCAGTAAGTGTAAGGCCTTAAATTGCTTGCACTGAGAAAATAGAGAGAGAAAAGGAGACAAGAGGTCAAGAAAAATATAACTGACATATCTAGATCTTGGCGATATCTAGATTCTCTAGATCTCTCATACTTATGTGGCCAAAAAAATAGATCTATTTTAGATCTAGAAATCTAGAGTCTAGATCTAGGCTATGGGTATTTCTTTCAGTCAGGAGAGTATTCAAACAGAAAGAGTGGCGTACAATTTCAATTCGATCTAGATCTAATCTAGAAGGTAGTGTTAATGTTAATTGCGACAGTGACAACTAGCCTAACAACGCGGCATTAATTGCAACAGAGTGAACATGGAGCTCTTTTGCATTTCTCTACAGTAGAATTGACTTTCTTAAAACTTTATCTGTACACACATTAGAATCGGCTTCCATGGAACTGGCCACACGGTGAAGTCATCACACACCTCCAGTGATCTCCTCAGTTATCCCGTCACAAAATCCAACTTGCGAAAAACATGTGGCGAGTTCACCGTGGACTGGCAGGCAAACCCTCAATGCCAACCTTTATAACTTTAATTAATAATAGGCCGGCTTTATTTCTCTGAACGTTCGGGAAAATAAACTTAAACTTTATTTCTCCGAACGGTTTCCATTCTCAAGATTTGTTGAATAAGCGAAAGGAGTGGCCCCTGTGTGTGTGTGAGTGTATGAACGGGGGATTTTTTTTTACATGAAAGACTAGTTTTTGCTGGGTGACTAAATCTAAAATAGATTCCTGCCAAGGTCGCAAGCAGTCATGTTTTCTCGCAGTTGAGTACCTTTTGAAGGTATTTTCAAATGAAGTATAGATCTAGTATAGATTCTAGTCCGGGAATGTTGCCCTAACCACAACTGAAGTATCTGAATATTCAGACATTTAAAAATCTCTAGCTCTAGAAATTGAATTCCATGCAAAAAAATGCTTCCTCCCAGTCCTCGCAAAATGAAAGGATGACGCCTCCATCTCGCAAATAACTCAAAAATCTCAGAAACCGTTCGGAGAAATAGAGTTCAACTTTATTTTCCCGAGCGTTCTGAGAAATAGTCACTTCATTTATAATATTTTTTAAATACAAAAACCAGAGTTTATTCAATCAAAATCTATACATAGATTTCTGGAAGTTTCAGCCCCCAGACCCAGTAGCAATCTAGTGTGTGTGTGTGTGTGTGTGTGTGTGTGTGTGTGTGAGAGAGAGATAGATAGAGAGAGAGAGAGAGAGAGAGAGAGAGAGAGAGAGGTGCTAGCAAAATGTAATGACATGCCCCAGTTGGCAGGAGGGAACGAGAGAAAGATAGAGTGTGAAATAGGTGGGACAAAGGAATACAGAGACAAACAAAGAAAAAGAGAAGGAGAGAGAGAGAGAGAGAGAGAGAGAGAGAGAGAGAGAGAGAGAGAGAGAGAGAGAAATAGAGGGTGACTGCTCGATTGAAATTATGACATTGTTCTTTTCTTCAAATTGCGTCTTGCGATTCCTCAAACTCCAAAACGGAGGAAAAACGATCGGTCATCGAAAAGACATCTGCAATCTTTATTTAGATCTAGCCGCGAAACTATATCCAAGATTTATGTCTTTCTGCCTAGATCTAGACCACAGATCTAGAAGAACCTACACGTAGATCTAGGTTTACCCCACAGAATTCTACACTAAGTGTAAAATTCTGTGGTCTACCCTGAGCCAAGAGGGCGCAGAAACTCTCCGAAATCACAAAAGAGTTCCCCTACCGGGTCTGTATACTTTGTGACTTGTGTTCCCGGTTACCGGGTCTGTATACACTCCCTTCTTTAAAAGACACGGGGAGTTTTCTCTATAACCAAACAAATATACACACACTAATTAAACGAAACTTCTCCTACTGGAAGGGCAATGCCCATTTTGTGTATAGATCAAGATTTCTGGAAACACCCGAAATCTAAGCTAGCCCGCTTGCCCTAAAAAAAGCGACAAAATATATTGTCTACCAACGCCGAAAGTTGCCGAATGCCTACTGTTGTTTAAAGCAACCTCTATTCTCACCCGGGGTGAGAATACCGCAGGCGAGTCTTTTGGCTATTCTCACCCGGTGGGCGTTCACCGTTATAGCCTAGGCCAACCAGTGAAGTGTTCACCCTGAACCACAGAATTCTACTCTGTGACAGAATTATAGAATTCTGTGCTTTGAACAAACGTTCTAGATCTATTACTACTGTTAGTGTTAGCCTAAAAGCGTGCAATCTTGTCTGTGGGCAGTGGAGAGAGAGAAAGAGAGAGGGGAGGAGTAGATCTTGCGAGAACTTCCGGGCGAAACAAAATGGCGACCCGCGTAGTTCGGCTCGATTCGGAAAGTAAAATAGCCGTAGCATCTTTGTAGATAACCAAATTAATTTAGTTTTGTTTTTGGTAGTGTCAATTGCCACCGAGTGACGCGGTGGCAATTGACAAAAATTGACTTTTTGCACAGAATTCTACACTTAGTGTAGAATTCTGTGACTTTTTGTCAATTGCCACCGAGTAAATTGGAGCTCTTTCCCGTTGGTGGGTAGATCTAGCTTATTGTGCTCGAGTGCTTGGTGTTGTGCGTTCGCCTCTCTGTCCGTCTGTGTGTGTGTGTGAGTGTGTGTCTTTTCCTGACCCCTGTTCCCCGATTTATGTTCCCCGATATAACGTGAATTTCTACTTCAGTTTGTGTGCGTTTGTGACCTTCTACTTCTAGTCTAGAATTGCCTGTGTTGGTTCTACACCAAAGTGTAGGCTAAGGCTAGCCTAGATCTAGGCCTACGTCTCATTGAAAACACGCCAAGTTGGTACCGTAGCCGTAGCTCTAGACAAGATGCTCATCCAATGAAATTAGTTGGGAACAAATTGACCCATTAGACACACATTATTATGTATAATGCTAAAGATGGTGTTGTTTTCAAACTTGACACCGCTTCACTCGGTGGCAATTGACAAAAGGCCACCTCTATTCTCACCCGGAGTGAGAATAGTGCAGGCGAGTCTTGTGGCTATTCTCACCCGGTGCGCGTTCACCAAATTTTGCGTTCACCCTAAACCACAGAATTCTACACTGTGGTAACAGAAAAATTGTAGAATTCTGTGCCGTGAACAAACGTTCCATTACAATTGTAGCCTACTAAAAGCGTACAATTTTGTCTGTGGGCAGTGGAGAGAGAGAGAGAAAGAGAGAGATTTCCGGGCAAAACAAAATGGCGACCCGCGTAGTTCGGCTCGATTTGAAAAGTTAAATAGCCGTAGCATCTTTGAAGACAACCAAATGTATTTACTTTTGTGTTTTAACATCATTTTTTAACTTTGTTTTGGTCAATTTGATCGTCCACACCGATAGACAGTATTCAGAAAGAGACAGAGAGAGAGAGAAGGGAGGAGTTGATCTTGCGAGAACTTCCGGGCGGGTGAGAATAGCCACTTTTTGTCAATTGCCACAGCGTCACTCGGTGGCAATTGACGCTACCTTTGTTTTTTAACATCATTTTTAAACTTTGTTTTGCTCAATTTGATCGTCCACACCGATAGACAGTATTCCAAAAGGCCACCTCTATTCTCACCCGGGATGAGAATAGTGCAGGCGAGTCTTTTGGCTATTCTCACCCGGTGCGCGTTCACCGTTATAGCCTAGATCTAGGCCAACAAATTTTGCGTTCACCCTAAACCACAGAATTCTACTGTGATAACAGAAAAATTGTAGAATCCTGTGCTATGAACAAACGTTCCATTACAACTGTACTTGTAGCCTACTAAAAGCGTACAATTTTGTCTGTGGGCAGTGGAGAGAGAGAAAGAGAGAGAACAAAACAAAATGGCGACCCGCGTAGTTCGGCTCGATTCGAAAAGTTAAATAGCCGTAGCATCTTTGTAGACAACCAAATTAATTTACTTTTGTGTTTTAACATCATTTTTTAACTTTGTTTTCGTCAATTTGATCGTCCACACCGATAGACAGTATTCAGAAAGAGACAGAGAGAGAGAGAGAAGAGGGGAGGAGTAGATCTTGCGAGAACTTCCGGGCGGGTGAGAATAGCCACTTTCATTCCCAAATGAGAAAAAACAGGTCTTGTTTCACACCGGGTGAGAATAGCCTATGCTGGCAAGTCTCACCCAGGGTGAGAGGTAGATTGTATTTTTATTCTCACCCCCCGGTGAGAATAGCCACTTCCGTTGTTTAAATGGGGAAGTGGTGTGATGAGTTCACTGTTAAATTAGACCTAGGCAGGGTCTGGATCTAGATCTAGATCTAGAATCTAGATCTATTTGGATACTTTTTTTTGCGTGAACTCGCCACACATTTTTCAGCTGTGTCAACATCACTGGTTCCCTTGCCTTAGAATCAATGGACAGCCAAAATTTACAACACAAAGAATCAGCAGCATACAACAGCAACCAAAACCACTAGGGGCAACAACAACAAAAGAGCTGCGACTGTCTTTGTTTTTTGTTGTTGTTAATTTGGTGTGTGTGTGTGTGTATAAATGGCCACAAAAGCGTGTGTGCGGAGTGCAGTGTCTAGATTCTAGATCTATTTCTTGTGTGTCTGTGAGTGTGTGTCTCTGTGTGTGAGAGACAGTAGGCCTATAATACTATGTATGTAGATCTCTAGATCTGATCTAGAGATCTATGCTACGACCCATCTATGCGTGTGTATTTCAATTTGTACAAAGGACTAACGTAAACTTAACGTTAAAAAGAAAAAAAACAAAAACAGTCAAACAGGCTGCAACACGGCGTTTGCAGAGCACGTGGTGTGTGACCGTGCTGCTGTGTGCCTCGGCTTTGTTTTGATCGCCTTCGCCAAGGCAAAACTTGCCTGGGGTTCGCCTACTTGGCAATCGTGTGACCTACATTTTACTGTCGAAGTGGCTGAAGTCGGGAGAACTTGCGCTACACGCACATTTCGACGAAAATCTTTGAACAAAATAAAAATAAGCACAATAAACTCAGATTTGTTATAACTTACAACAGTAATACAATGTATATCCAATGAGGTCCAAATGAAAATAATCCAAGTGAGAAATAAATAAACGCATTGGCAAGTGAGAGCGCCGCTAACGTCCTTCCCCTATAGCAGTCAGACTTGGAATGCCAAACGCAAAGCGTAGCCTAGGCCTAGTCACGTCACGAGGGGAAGGCTCATGATGATAAAAATAGAATCTCTACTGCGCGGCGAAACGAAACAAACGTTAGCGGGCGATAAGCAGAGAGAGAGGGGGGAAGAGGCAGAGAGAGAGAGAGAGAGAGAGAGAGAGA